GTGTAAGTATTTCTTTGTCCAGACTACCATACTCCTTGAAATGAATTACGGTAATATATACAGTTAAATGATGAGATAACTTCTATATGGGAACCTCAGGTATTAACATGATTAAGGAACACTTAAGTTATAGTATCTGACTTTAAGGGGTCTGAGAAAAGTATGAGAATAGGTTGATGGAGTTGAAAAATATATGAACCATGAAAGGGATGGTCTTTATGTTAAATATGATCTCTGGGGTAAGAGGGAAGACCCAGGCATCAATGTCTACAAGATTGGAGTTGTGACAATTACGTGAATATGCTGATACCGATCTTCTGAAATATGATATGGTTGTCTTTTAAATTTCCTACAAATTAAATTGTGAAGCATTTTATTTTTCTTGTCATTCATATGAGTGGTTCAAATTGGGATATACTGAATGACAGTGTAGTCTCCCAATGCTAAGCAGTTGATACTGTTAGATTCTGCTAATTTTTAGGAATTTTGAACGATTGTTTTCCCCTATTCTTTTCACCCTCATTGACCAGTAAGTTATCTTATTTTGTCATAGACCTGAGATTATGGTATTGGTTCAGGAAACTAAAACAACAGAAGCGTTCTGGCAAAATTGTAATATTTTTAGCTTTTCATACCAGATAAGGCAGAGTTGTCCCCAGCAACTTACGTTGTTGTAAGTGCTAACAAGATCAGTCCGTTGTGTCATTGTACGCTTACGCCATGTGATATTGCTATCAATCACTGGTTCAGACTTCACTATATACAGTAGCTGTGATAAAGCTGTTGTATGGCTGACCATGATGTCTGCCAGTGTGTGTGAAATTGTAGCAAAATATTGCTAGATAGGTTGGCTAGCCAGCCTCAAAGTTACCAAATTGAAGCTGTAGCGTAAACATGAAACAATAATCTAAATGTTGATAAACCCACATGCATGTATGTCATGATTTCATGCAAATATTGATTGATAATATTCAAAGATCAGCTGATTTCATGCACATACTGATTGATAACATTCAAAGATCAGCTGATTTCATTCAAATATTGATTGACTTAATTCAAACATCTGCAGATTTCATGCAAATACTGTTTGACTTGATTCAAAGATCAGTGTCTTCAAGCAAATATTGTCAACATATCTTACCAGGTGCACATTCCTCTAAATCATTCCATGGAAATGATAGGAGAGTTGTAAACACGGTTGTAAAAAATTGAAGCCTGTTATGCCTGTGGATGAGGAAGATCGTTGTTGTGTTATGCAGCGGTAATACCAGCATGTCAGCTTCTTGTCATTAACTGTCACTTTCGTGAGAAGGGAAACTTCTGCACAAAAAGCCTTTGTGAAAGTTCAAAGTGGCTGATCTCAGATGCAGGCGACCAGAACTTGCTCCAACCTTATGATGCACTGGAATGTGTGTCATCAATGTGCGAAATTTATGCTGGCCCTGTGGTCCCTGACTAGTAAAAATTCATCAGGACCACTAAATGATAAGTTTGCAGTGGTCCTGGTGGCCAGTGAAGTTTTTAAAAAAATTAAAAGATGTTAAAATTTAAATGAATATAATAGTATTGATAGTTAAGTAAATCTACGAATGTTATGTTGGACCAGTGAAGTACAGACAGGACCACCAATTATTGTCCACTCACTGGTCCTGTGGTCTAGTGGGAAATATTTACAGTTTTCTAACACTGTTGTCATGGATTTAAACCCACACCCTTAGAGTCAGGCACCTAATCGCCAGTACACAAAGTCGATTAGGTGCCTGACTCTGAGGATGTGGGTTTGAATCCTGGATTGCACTCAACCCAACAAATGTACTAGAATCTGTGCTTTAATAAGAAAGTGTAATCCCAAATATAACATATGTCACATTTGACCACTTTCTAAATGGCATTGTGTAAATGATTCCATGACCTTCATACAACTATACTTGGCAGGACTTGTATGTGAAATATACTAACTTTTCAACAAGTTCTGGAGGAAGCATGGTAAATAATTTATGACCCAGGTATGTTCAGATGTATTGTGATCATAGACCATTCCATTGACAATAACTTCATAATGTGTTTATTTAATCTCTGTTCACTAAAGATGAATGCGTATGCATCAACCAAAATATAGTATTTATAATCTAATGTGATATAAATCATCGTATTTTATGTTCATAGATGTCAGACGTATTTTCAAGATCATTTGTACAAAAAATATGAACATCAAAATATTTTTAAGATCCTATGTATGAAAAATGTAAACATTAAGGTTTTAGTTTAAATATATTCTTTTGTAGACATGTTAGAAGCATTCTCTCATCAAATAAGAAACATGTATATGTACTGAATATTTCTTACCTTGTTGTGTGTGGCTCCCTTGAATACTCGATTGTCTGTCTGTCACCAGTATCCATCAACGGTATCCATCTTGTGACATAACCACAGTCGTGACATGACTATGGTGTGTACTCATGTAGAAACAAAAGCTTAAGTCTCCTCGGGGAAGAAGTTAACGTTGCACAATGTGACCTCTGACACACAAAAAGACAGGCCATTATTCATTTTCCTGTCTTCGTTCTCTGCCATTTTGTTTTCGTTCTTCAGTGAGTGATACTTCTTTCAGTTTTACATCATTCACATTCTCTGGATTTCTTCATCTGTAAGTTTGTAAATTTACTTTCTTTATCCATTATGTTATCAGTGCTGGTAATTCTACATGAATAATAATTTTCTTCTGTGCTATGTTTGTTTCAAATATTGAATTAGTATTCCTAAATCTAAGACTGCCATGGTATTGTGGACGCTGGTCACCAGTGGTTAGTGATGAACTAGGACTATGAAGTACAAGATTATTATCAAGGGGATGGTTCTGCTTTCATTGCATGATTATTCAGAGACATGGAGGAACATGGTGAATATAAGCCCGAGGAAAGGTATGGTGTCACGTATTGCCTCCAGCAGTTGTGTCCACTTCATAGTCTAGTCAAACTAGATGTAGGCTAAATTACGATCAGCACCAAAGGGTTTGAGGCAGTGTGTATTGTGAGCTGTCTTCTGAGCAGCACATTGTCATTATACCTTTGGCTGGGCTGTACCTGTTTTGAACAGTATCTTGGAGAAGTTGTATTGTTAAACAACAAAGGTAGGTCACAACTATCCTGATAAGGTCAAATTGGGTCTTTAGTTTCTGTTCTTGAAATTTGTTTTATTTCATAGTTTTTTCATGTTCATTGGTATGAAGTATTGTTTATTTTCATAATGTAGAAGATTGTGACTTGTTGCATTATTCCAATATTGTTGTTTGATTTATGGGTTGTTCAGGTTTTATGCTTGTTATAGTAGGCCATGGGCGTTTACCTCATCAATCATGTAATCCTGAATGAGATGGACTATATTGTATTGTTGAATAGAAAACAGACTCAACAATAGAACAGTACTTCGGTTTCTTATATTGAAAGATCAATTGGTTGTGTGTTTGATTATCTGCACACATCTATTCTTTGATACTAATGTTTGGGGAAATTGTTACACCACATATAGATAAACAAGAAGTGCAAACCTTGATGATACAGTTAAAAAATCAAAGTAAAATTTGGACCCAACCTTACCCCCCAAAAATATATTATAGATTTGGAAGCAGTGTTTACGTTTTGAAATGATTTATATTCACCTTGTGGCCTCTTCCTTATGCTTCCATCGTCGTCATTGTACTCTGTGTAGCATTGTAATCCAGTAATGAATATAGCATGGTCACTGTGATGTGAGCATGTTGAACCAGTACGGCACGCAGGTTGTGACAGAAGGCGGTTCCTCCTGGATATGCGATCTCTAGACGGCAAACACCCATTGTCCCCATCAACATGCAAAGTCACACGCGCTGGCCAGGCATATCTATGACAAAGCAAATTTTCATTAATTGAAAAATGTCATGTTGATAGCAGTGGTAAACATGGCATATGATCCCGTGGTACAAATAAGGCCTACTTTCTCCTCATCAGGGGTTGGTTCCTTGGATGGTGGTCAAGTGCTGTTTACTTTCCTGTACATGGCATAAGCCATCTACAAGGTAAACTTGTAACAGCAACAGGCTTTAAAACTGTGTTTGATATACTTGTGAAACTTTTTCACGTTTTTAATTGTTTTCCTATCCCATACCAACTGATTGCGATTGACTGATGTAATTATACAGAAAGTGACCAATATTCCCCAGTTCAAACTTGACACCAGCTGACTATTGATGAGGTCATTTAATTTTGCCTTGTAGAAAGAGTAAATTTCATGAACAGATATTTTGAACATTTTCATAGCGCTTTGTGTATTGATAGATCTTTAAGAAAATATCATCCACTAGAGATTAGTAAAATAAAGGACACACTTTTGGTTACCTTTAATTTCATGGGTATGTTTCCTGGAAGTGTTACAGAATGTACCCATGTCCCACAAGGTATAGTTTACCACTTAAGTATTGATGAGCTCTCCAATTACAACCTATTACTATCTTATGTTATGGTCAACATAACATTTAACATAGTCACGAGTGGTAGTAAAGCCTATAGATGGAAGTGCTCTTTAAGTACAATGGTGAACTTCATGACATGTTACTGGACCGCCATTGAAACTATCCATCAAATTGAAATGCCAGCTTGAAACATAACCCACCTGCTTCTCCCCATTGGTTAAGTCCGTGTTGGATCATCTTGAAAGTATATTGACAAGTGTGGTAGGCCCTTGGCCATATTCCACGAGGATATGATGGTTTATTTATAGAGCTGGTAACAACAATGCCTTTCCCCTCTCACAAACCTCCTTCCCCCCCCCAGTCAGTCTTCCCCCATCCCGTTATAAACACCCACTCTAACTTTGCTTGGCGTGGAAGATTGTCAAAACTTCGTGTTCACTTCAGAATTTGTTTCTACTGGTCTTTGCAGTCAATAGTTTTTGGAAATTTCAGCGGGAGTGTTATTGAAGTTTTTCTGATCAAAGTGTTATATTGTGAATATTATCTGTGACAGCGGAGAACTATGGAGAAACTGACAGACATTGAGCTGACAAGCATTGACAGCACTGACCCTAAACCAAGGTCGTTCGAAAACGCAGATGCCACAGCCATCTTGATTCAGGTAAGCAAGTTTTGAGTATTTTACTGGACATTTTGTGGAATGACAAGAATTATTATGTATCAGAAGGCCTTTTACTTAGTATACTTTTGGCCTGAACGCAATTTGTGCCCATGCCACTGAAACGCAACAATTGCAATGCATGTCTTTGGTTGACTGTTATTTAAATGTTTGTATAATAGTTTTAGATTATTGATATATTTATACCCTCGCTACGAAGTAACGGGGTATATAGCGTTCATTCTGTCCGTCCGTCCGTCCGTCCGTCCGTCCGTAAACTTTGTCCGGAGCATATCTCTTAAAGTTTACATGCTAGGTTCACCAAACTTCACACACATGTTAATCATTACCCATTGATGTGCCTTTTGCTATTTTAAAGTTTTTTCAGAAGTTTGTTTTGTTTTTGCTGTTTCCATGGAAACACGACTTAGTGCCAAATGTATTTGATGGTTTTGTCCGGAGCATATCTCTTAAAGTTTACATGCTAGGTTCACCAAACTTCACACACATGTTAATCATTACCCATTGATGTGCCTTTTGCTATTTTAAATTTTAAATTGTGCAACATGAGAGTCAGTAACATTCTTCACCAACGTCCACTTTATTGTGTGCAACATGGGTCAGTGACATTCTTCATCTACGTCCACTTCCACTTCATTGTGTGCAACATGAGACAGTCAAGTTCAGTTGTATGTCAGGTTTCCACGGAAAACACAACAAAATAATGTTTCCATAAATTATTACTGTAATCAGTACATGGCAAAACTATTATCTAACATGTATATAAAGTTTAGTAGAGTCAAGGAGAAAGTCTTGTGAGCTGCTGATCCTTGTCACATTATATATATCAATATCAGTCATTTCCATGTCCCAAAGGGGGAAGCGGGGGTATGTGAGCTGTGCTCACTTCTACACTTGTTGATTTATATATTCATGGACACATATATGCAGTCCATGTTGGTGCTATTTTGAAGCGAAACAGGGTTGTGAGATCTGCATTTGTTTCTCATGTGTCCTTTGAGCCACTCCTCTGGTTCTTGTGTCTAATATGCTCAGAAACTTAAATTCATATAATAACTCTAAAATCAATACTGAATATGATTTCCAAAGTTTAATCAAATGTTTGCAGTACAGTTGCTAAAGTTATTCAGTTTGGACCATCTTGGTTCTAAGATGATCACTATCGTCACAAGGTTTAAAACAGCACAGGTCATGCAAATCAGTTGAAAGTAGCCATTTCATATTTTGTCCTTGAATGTCTGCAGAACCCCCAATTTAGCAGAAGTACCTACTTAGACGTGTTAGGAGAGTAGAGTTGTCAATATCAATCATAAAATACATAGCTAGGGAATATACAAGCACTTGTCACTGCATGGTGTGTAATGTAGGACTAGTCAGGAGTTGTTATGAATGTTACCATATATCTTTCACAATACACAACAGCCATGGAAATCCTATAGCTTTTATACAGACTGGTCCCGAGGACTACTATAAACCATCTTTCATTACTCCTTACTGCTGGCAGCTAGTCCTATTTGTCAAATGAGACAGCAATGTTGTATTTTGTGTCAGTTTTATTCAGTTCCAGTTTTTTAGCAAGATCAGAGCTCGTTCATAATTATGGCCCTAAAAGGACTACCATCACTGAAATTTTACTTGTACTCAACATAATTAATCCCCTAGTCTGAATCACAGGTCTGGTGAAATGTCTTCCAGTCTAGTATGATCAGTTTATCAAGAATGTACACATTCTTACTCTTGTGACAATGATGCCCAAATACAAGGTTTAACATAAACATGTTTGGCACAGACTGTTGAAACATGCTGTATGGTGTTGTGAGTAAACAACAATTCATCTGAACAGGGAGACTTTTCTGGGTTTCATCTTCTTTTTATTGTTTTTTAATCAGGTGGATAAACACACATGAAACACATTTTCAGATGAAACCCAGTCTCTCTGTTCATCAAATAGCATCTTCTAAAATGCAAATCATGTTATGGTTTTTTGGGTTGCAGGAGGATGATATCGAGACTCCATATGGCAACATGCATGTGGCCATTCAGGGGGACCGATCCAAGATGGCCATCCTCACCTTTCATGACATTGGACTCAACCGTAAGTCAAGTCTCTTCCATTTTCAGTGTAGCATATCTGATTGAAATCTGACATAGATGGTGTCTGGTATTCAGAATCAGTCATATAGACAGTAACTGCAGTTTTGATTGCTCTGTGTTAATCTTTTTGAGGTAGGATTACATGATTTGAAGACATATTCAGACTTTCAAGGTCATTCAGATGTGACAGAGAATAGGATGACCTCTAGCTCAAGCTCTAAGATCTGAATTTAATGAGATTATCCCGTACTTATCTTTGTTTCAAGATGTGAAATCAATGTATTTTGTTCAGTTGAGGTGTTGAGTTTTGAAAGACTTGCTGGGCATTTTCAAGGAGCCACATTTCTCTGGTTTTCAGAAGAATAAAATACATAATTATTGACAAATGGGGCTGATGAAATACTGTCTCAGTATCCTGCTGTCAGAAGGGTGTGAGAGGGCAAGGAGTCTTCCTCCTAAAGCTGTTTATTCATTTCCTCCTTGTAATGTGTTGCAGACGCGACCTGTTTTCAAGGGTTCTTCAGCTATGCAGACATGCAGCCAATATTACGACACTTCTGCGTCTACCATGTCAATGCACCAGGGCAAGAGGAAGGAGCTCTCCAACTGAAACCAGAGTAAGTCTAGCATGTGTGTCACTCACAACAACTGAGTAAAGCCACCTGTCTTGTCACTAACCAGAGTAAGTCAAGCATGTGTATCAGGCACAACAACTGAGTAAAGCCATCGGTGTTGACACTAACCAGAGTAAGTCTAGCATGTGTTTCACTCACAACAACTGAGTAAAGCCATCTGTCTTGTCACTAACCAGAGTAAGTCTAGCTTGTGTGTCACTCACAACAACTGAGTAAAGCCATCGGTGTTGACGCTAACCAGAGTAAGTCATGCATGTGTATCACTCACAACAACTGAGTAAAGCCATCGGTCTTGTCACTAACCAGAGTAAGTCTAGCTTGTGTATCAGGCACAACAACTGAGTAAAGCAATCGGTGTTGACACTAACCAGAGTAAGTCAAGTATGTGTATCAGGCACAACTGAGTAAAGCCATCGGTGTTGACACTAACCAGAGTAAGTCTAGCATGTGTTTCACTCACAACAACTGAGTAAAGCCATCTGTCTTGTCACTAACCAGAGTAAGTCAAGCATGTGTATCACTCCAACAACTGAGTAAAGCCATCTGTCTTGTCACTAACCAGAGTAAGTCAAGCATGTGTATCAGACCCACAACTGAGTAAAGCCATCTGTCTTGTCACTAACATGAGTAAGTCAAGCATGTGTATCAGGCCCACAACTGAGTAAAGCCATCTGTGATGACGCTAGCAAGAGTAAGTCTAGCTTGTGTATCAGGCCCACAACTGAGTAAAGCAATTTGTCTTGACACTAACCAGAGTAAGTCAAGCATGTGTGTCATTCACAACAAGTGATTAAAGTCACCTGTCTCGACGCGAGCAAGAGTAAGTCTAGCATGTGTGTCACTCACAACTGTTTTAAGCCATGTATGTCTACAGTAAGTCTAGCATGTGCATTCTCACAATAGCAGTTCAGCCACCTGTGTCGATGCTAGCAAGAGTAAGTCTGTGTAGTAGCCACAACAGCCAATTGCAGACAGCAGCTGTGTCAGCACTGAAACCAAAGTACTTCAAGCACAACAACAGAGTGTAGCCACTCATGGCAGCATCCACCTGGGAGTATGGCTGCTGGTAACATAGTAACACCAAACATCTGTCTGATGTCAGCCATAGTTACCAGGCTAGCACATCACCTGTGTGATACTTCTTGTATCAGCAGAGTCCTCCATAGTATATACCAGCATGACGCAACCTTGTGTCTGTAACAACGCATGTTGGAATGGAATGACTACAATGTGTTTGTGATGAGTCAGTTGTCCAATAGGTTTGTTTAACATTAACATGTAAGAGCCTATTCACACGAATTAAATTATGACAGACAAGCAGTCATTTTTTTGTTCTACTCAACATGTTCTGCCAAAATCATGTCTTTCCATATTAAGCCAGTATGGAGGAGATAGTGTAGGAACATGAGGGGGTTATCAGCAAAATCTGTAAAATAATAGCGTGCATAGACATGTGCATTAGCCTGTTATGTCCAGCAAGCATCCTAATATACCTGTAAAGGGCTTGTACATTTTGAATTTTAGAGGGATGCCCTTTTATATTATCGCTAGTCAACCTACTCAGCCGACTTAATATTTTGTCCCGAGGAATTGTCAACTTGCTACAAAAAAACGGTATGAGTGAAAAATTAGTTGACTTGAAAGCCATGTTATATAGTTAATATTGATTGTATTTTTAACAATATATTTCAACAGTTTTGCATTGACGGTCATGTAAAATGGGCCATGCTATTTTCAAAGGATTGTTAAAAAGTTAATCCAATGAAGCAGGGTTGCATATTTTTAAGTTCACTCGTTGGTAAAAGATTTCATCCAAGTCACCTATACTTATGAAGTATTATAGGATAGACTGCAAAACTTCATCATAGTTGTGGTGAAGACCATTTGAAGAATCTTAAACATCACGGTCTATGAGCATATACTTGACAGTTTGTGTTTTATTAATGTTTCTGTGTGAATGCTTGTATTTCTACTAACCAACTGTAGTTGTGTTAACCATTCTACTGACAAATGTTTATTTTCAGAGTGTATAATGTTGACATACTCATTCGTAGTGTTTGTTTATATGCATGTCTTGCATCTTGTAGATAGTGTGTCGCTATACTACAGATTGGAATGACATACATGTCTATAGCCTGTAGTTGATATGCAACCTATATAATCTCTTGCCGTTCCTCCTAACAGACACGATGTTCTGGGTAATCCTGATTCTCTAGGTAGCAGGTACGTAGGTCATGTGACTTGTGTGCACTGTGTACCACCTAACACATGTTCACGTCTCTCAATCCACCCTCATTGGTTCGCCAAACCCTCCCTCATCACAAATGTGTAATATAATGCAAAGTTTTTTGCAGCAATTGTTTAGTTTATATTTGCCACTATGAAACGAGTTATTAGTCACACATGTACTTACTTTCGTACTTTTGATTTAATAGATCTTTACTTTTTGTATGCCGACAAGATTGGAATACAGTGGTTAAAAATCATGGGCATATGTCCATGCTTTCTTTCCATGCAACTAATGTCATACCTGAACAGGGTACATTAAATCTAGAAATGGACATTTTTAGCAGCAAATGCCTTTTATATGAATGCAGTGAAAAATTGCTTTCCTATTTTATTTTTAAAAAACTCCCCCTTTTTTCATGTCATATTGTGTGAATGTTTCAAGACAATGACTTGTAACATGGCATTGACAGCTGAACAAATCTAATTAACTATGTACACACATTAAAGGTGCTGACACAGGGCTATTTTGTGATATATAAGGTACCAATGGCAATTTACCATTCATAATTTGTTGTCAGTGTTCAGCTTTTTTTGTAGTCGTGCGTTTGTGTATAAGCTGGGGGTACTGGATAGGGTGCAGCATTCTCTTCCCACAGAGGTTACTTGTCATATCTTCCTAATACGGCCATATTTCCCGGTTCTTGTAAAATCCCCTAGCGGCAAAAGATAGCAACACGAATGATCTCCCTTCTTTCTATCCAATCAGAACACGTGTTACATTGACTTAGATTCAACTTGACTAACACAAGCAAATGTGGGGCCACAAATATCCCTCCTCTGCCGGGGACTTGTGTTGATGTTACACACATGACGTTTAATGGCTAGCATGTCCGTTGTCAACAAGGGCGATGGAGACGCCACTGATCCGCCATAACATGACTGAGTTCTGTCTAGGAGAAACGTTTGCGCATCGCGCAGGGGGAATAGGTTTAGTTTTCTCGAAACATACGGAAATTACCGAGGCCTTGCGAATGATCACTTTTGAAACAACGTCGCTGATTGCACAACTAAATCTGATTGCAACCAATCACGAATACTGAACACTCGCACCATGAAAGGGCCGTATTAGAACAGAGGTTCGTAGGAAGATATGACAAGTAACCTTTGTGGGAAGAAAATGAGGGTGCTGTAGTTGTTGAGCTTTTTTTTGTTTGGGTTTTGGCTTTTCAGCATTGCATGCATGGAATTATAGAGGGTCTATAGAGGTTGATTAGCGAAAATAACTATGTTAGCGCTGTAACGCTGGCAGAATATTGCTCGCAGCAAAACTAGCTCCTGTCATAGGTATTTAATTTATGATCCAGTAATGAAATATTGGTCTCAAACATTCAAAACAGTGTTTGATTTTTATACAAAATGAATGGGCATACAAATATGGGTAGTGAGTATGATGTATGTTATTTGTAGAAGTATATAAGATGTGCCGTGTATATCATGTATGTTATTTGTGGAGCAATATAATCTCAGTGAGGTTGACCTTTTTCATGTTGCATGTGTATAATACACTGATGTTGTGTTGCACAATGAAAGTTGTTCCATATTGTTTCTGTAGTGCATCATGTTTAGGTTTTGATCAGGTTGTTTTTTTGTAAGTTTATAGCTTTTTGGTGCATGTTAGTCTTCATTTGGTTATATACAGATCTACTGACCAATTCTTATGTTTGTTTGAGTTAGATTTAGTGTCATTTAGTGAAGGGGCGGTGGGGTAGCTTAGTGGTTAAAGCGTTGGCTCGTAACGCCAAAGACCCAGGTTCGAATCCCCACATGGGCACAATGTGTGAAGCCCATTTCTGGTGTCACCGCCGTGATGTTGCTGGAATATTGCTAAAACTCAGTCAGTCAGTCAGTCATTTAGTGAAGATTCCAGGGCAGAGATCAAATATGCATATTACTCAAGCAACAAAAATCATAGAATGACTGAATGCTGTTGTGAAAAGTGGTTGTTTTTCTGAAGGTCTGGTCAGTTTCTCACATATTCAAATACTGGTTTGCCTGGATCACTCAGCAAGCTGTGCTGCATTGATAGATTAACTGAGGTATGGTCCACATTCAGCCTTCAAAATGGAAGGCCTGTTGTTGTTAGCAAGTACTAACAGCAAGCTGCGTCATAGCAAAATTGAAAAATAAGAACTGAAAAGAATTGACAGTCATTATGTGAGGTGAGGTGAAATTGGGTTTTACATCGTACTTGAGAATATTTCGCTCATATGACGACGTGCATGCGTGTGTATGTGTATATGTGGCTGCTTGTACTAGCCCAGACTGAAGCTGGTTTTATAGTGCTAGCCCACTGAGATACCATGCCACAGTGAAGCATGAATACCCCACTCAGACACATTATACTGACTCCGAGTCGACCAGTCCTTGTTGTACCCATTAATGCCGAGCGCCAGGCAGGGACCAACAAGTACCATATTTTAACGTCTTTTGGTATGACGCGGTCGGGGATCGAACCCACGACCTTCCGCTCTCCGGGACAGTCATTATGTGGCTTTCTTTCAGTGTTAGTTGTTATCCCATGAATGTGAGCAATATTATTTTGTAGCTGATTGGATCATTAAACCAGGACCATTTGCAACCTGATCATGTTAATTGCTAATTAAACGAAACTTCTCACAGTTGAAACTCAAACCAATTCCTGTTCTCCAAGACTGCTGCTATCAAAAGTTTGTTGGTGTATATGACGACTGATTCGGCTGGAAGTAGTGTCCAAACATCCACTACAAAGACTAAACAAAGTCTTGTCAAGTTAATCTTGCAGGTTTATGATTCATTAGTAGCAAGTTAACTTTAAAGTTGATACTTATTGAATTTATTTAGTTTTTGGACAATCTTGTTTTATTTTTGGCGTATGTATTTCATAACCATTTAATAATGAGTAATTTCCTAAGCATGTTTAAGGTGACCATGTCTTCACAACATTGTCATTGACCTGGCTGTTGTAGACTCTTGTCTCCACACTGGAGGCTACTAATTCAGCATTGTGTCCATTTGAATAATAGCACTATACTCCAGCCATGTTAGGTTATAGCCCGAGGCTATAACGAGAGTTTATCATGTCTGTCTAACATACCTGAGGACATTGGTCAGGACATGACCTGAGGTCACCACCAGCAACCTGTCTGACCAGTCATATGCAGCTTAATTGACCCATTGTGATAACATGTATAATGCCTGGGGCTGATATCAAGAGCAATTAGCACATATTTCATGTTACATAATGTTATTATATAATGCTGTTCTGTGTTTGTGTAATGACAAGACATTGCAGGTACTAACTGGAAAAAATATACACATATATTATTTGGGGAATCTTTATACAGCGGATTAATGTCTAGTCAAATTAACTTGATTCACAACCATTTCAAGAAAACGTGGGTTATATAAACGTGCATGCATGGGTGTTTGTTGTAAATGTTGTGCTTGTGTTGTGAAGTACTCCTTAGAGTTGTAGAAGATAGTTATTGTTATAGTTAGAATGAAGGAGTTATTGATTCAAATTCATCACCAACATGATTCTTCTTTTAATGGATCGTGAATATATTATTTTTCTAATTTGTTTGCATATTTATATATTGATTTTATGTGAGAGGAAATTATATGCACTTGAATTCTGATGCAATAATATTATATAGTTTCCAGTGAAATGTTAAAATCTCTTTGTACAAAGTGAAGGACTTTCTTAAATCTCACAACAGTAAAATTGAAAGCATGATCATAATAATCATGATAGATTTCAGAGGTGACACATACTCTCTTGACCTGGTATGGGGATTTTGACTTGGGGATGGATAAGATCCCTAGCAACCTAATCTTGTCATTAGATGTGAATAAAGGAAGATGGTGGGCAGACTGAGTGACTCGTTCAGTTACACTCCATGTTTTCATTTTCAAGTCTTGAATGAAGTAAGCTATAAACTTGAACACATTGAAGCATGATACCCCGTACACATCTGTTCATGAGACCCATCTGTCAACAGTTTTATTTAGTCAATGTTCAAACCATGTACAACATCATGCTATCTTCTCATGACCTTGAAACATCGTGGACTCATTATCTGGAATGTGGGCACATCACGGAAGTCCTCCCTGTAGTAAGACCGGAATACTGCTGAATGCAAGTGAGCCTCACTGACTGAAGTACTGTATTTCATGTTGGTTTGTCTGGTGTGTTACAGGTTTGTCTTTCCAACCATGGATGAACTGGCAGAGGGCGTTCACTCAGTTGTGGAGCATTACGGGTAAGGTTTTGAACACTTGGTTAGAATGTTACTTGGAAGTATTTGAGTATTTGACTATATGGCATCATATTTATGGAATACTTCATGATACTAGAGTAAAGAATATACAGTAAGAAGCACAAATGTAATATTGATTTGACAAACCCATTGTTTCTCCTTTAAGTGGCATTTAGAAGCTGGTATGATGAAGACAAACAAGTTGTATGGATTGACAACTTTTCATTGCAATAGATGCAAACCTTCAGTGTTTCATTTACGTGATAATGGTTAAAGCATCTACGTCGAAACCTTTACAATAAGGAAGTTGTCCATCAATATAACCTGTTCCTCTGAACCAAATGTTATTGTTTACGTTATTGTTTACGTTAACATTATTGTTTATCTTATTGTTTACTTGATGCAGACACTATTGATACTGCAATACAGCCAGCATTTTTGACATGCAATTTAGTGACTTCACAATAGATAAGGATGTCACACTTGTTGACATAGTGTGGCTCACACTTTGTCACCCAAGCATTCAAGGAACAAAGTACTCGCAGCTTTTTCTAATGTCAGGTGACGTTGTGGGTTGGATGATTTGTCTGGTGTTGTCTCCCTGTTACGTGAATCGATGGTCATTATGAGACTTTTGAGTTCCACTTACACCTTGCACCTTGTTGTATAAGTGCAGAAGTCTTGAACATGAAATTAAACCAAACTTCACATTTGTCAACAGAAGGTACTGCTTCTTTTCTACAGCTGTTTATAAATTCCAGTTATTGATGTGGAGATGATAACTGAAATTCACCTCATTTGCACACTGTTGTTACAGGCTGAAGAGATTCATTGGCTTTGGAGTCGGCACTGGAGCCAACATCCTCACTCGATATTCAGTAAGTAGACACAATCGTGGAAGGTTTTGTGCATAACTAATTACAAACATTCAGCTGTCTACTTCTCAGTGTACAGTTAGAACAAATACAACTTAAATTTAGCAAACATTGGTCACAGAGTGAACATGGTTAATAATTAAGTTGTCATTCCTTGAATGTATAGTAGCCATCCTTAAGACACACTGTGAAACGCATTTCATCAGGATTTAAGCATTTCCAGTGAAACTGTCGTTTACACATTTTCAGATTTCAGGGTCATGGTCATGACATAATGTCTGTTATTGAATATGATTTTTTATATTCAGATTAACCATAGTCATATGAAAACAATTGTGTTATTCTTAACTTCTTTTGGTTTGTGAAAATAAGTATACCCAGCAGTAATTTTCCACATATTTTCCACATAAAATAATTGTCACAAATCCTTGCACGTGAGCTTAACTGTATTGATGTGACCTGTCTGTTTCTTTAACTTATGGATGTATAGCCCCAGGTTTCCTGAATAGCCAGGTTTGCCCTGGCCTGTAGCGCTGCCTCCCCTTGTATGAAGCATGTATTGACGTTCTGTGGTGGTTTCAGCTGCTTCACCCGGACCAAGTTGACTCCCTGGCGCTGGTCAATGCTACTGCCAGTCAGGCAGGCTGGATGGAATGGGGATACCAGAAGGTGAGACAACTTGGAGCAGGTCATGTAAAAACAGCAGTGTTTGTATGTATGTCTGAGGTAACTGAAGACAATTACAACAGCCAAATCAAACACCTTTCCCCTTGTGAACTACTTTCTATACCTTTTTTCATTTCAGTGCTGATTGTGAGTCATGTTTTGGTGAATATGACACTTGGCATGGGGTTGTTTTTTTAAATCACTTGACATGGTTTTGTTTTGTTTTTTAAATCACTTTTTTTATTCAATTCTTTAATTAAATTGTGTTTATAGATTGCCATCAACAAAATAAATATATTTAAAACTGTTATGTTTCTGCCCCATTCATACATTTCCAGTCCGGGTTAGAATATTGATCTTCAGTATCCCATGCTTGTTGTAAGAGGTGACTAACATGATCAGGTGGTCAGACTCACTGACTTGGTTGACACATGTCATCGGTTCCCAATTGCACAGATCGATGCTCATGCTGTTGATCACTGGTCCAGACTCGATTATTTACAGACTGATGCCATATAGCTGGAATATTGCAGAGTGCAGCATAAAACATAAAACTACTCACTCACTCACTCACTCACTCACTCACATACATATCCCAAAATATTTCAGATGAACTCCTGGTACCTGTTCTCTGGACAGCTGACCAACTTCACTGAGGAATACCTTCTGTGGCACTGGTTTGGACAGGTATGTAACCAAGGTTACTTGAGATGTTATCAAGATTGCAGTGTTATTTGTTTTCAGCCATGTAGAATCTTTGATGTCTAGCTAGTAGTAAGCAGTGTATTGTTTAATCTTCTGCAGAATGTTCGATGTTTAGAATCTAGTTAGCAGCTCAGTTTATTGTCATCTATGAAGCATATTTGATGTGTAGCACTGAGTTACTGATATCATCTGTAATAACTGTCATTTGTCTCTTTCAGAAAACTCGCTGGGATAACCATGATCTGATAACTGTATACAAGGAATACATCAAGTCCATCAATCCACAAAACCTTGCTCTCTTCATCGAGTCCTACCTGAAGTGAGTTGTCTGGCTTTGTCTCAGTTGTATATGTTCTACACATGAATACCTGGGTTAGAATTTGTTTCCAGCAACCCACACTTGTTGTAAAGGGCAGCTAAAGGGATTGTGTTGCATGTCAGGGATATGATAATTATCTTGATGCTCATGATGTCTGTCACTGGATCGTCGTGTAGTTAAACGGCAAACGAGCAAACGGGCAACAAACAGATAAAATGATAAACAAGACCAAGATCTATTCTATATCCATACAATCTGTACCATTTACACTAATTTTGTCTCTGTGACTACCATGAGCTGTTTCTAACAGTTTCATACACATCTGTTCAAGAAGTTCCACATATCCTTGTGATTGTTATATACCTCATATGATTGACTAGTTTTGGACAGAGAGGTTGTTGAATTTAAAGGCCTGCACAAAAGGTTTTGCTTGTTTTCTTCTTTTTTTTATGTCACTTCTTGAGTTACCATATTCTGACAAAGAATGTGCATTGTAAGTAAACACATGTTATTTGTTATCAGACGTACAGACATGAACATTGTCCGGGAGCTTGACCCATTGAAGAAGATGCAGAACAGGACTATCAGGTAGGTGATCAGATGTGTGGATAGGAAGTTAAGGAAGGACTGTCTCCATTCTGGGGAAGTGTCTCTACAGTATGGAAACCTGTGCAAGGCAGAATACATGGAGAAAAGACACCTACGAGATACCCAAGAGTTACCCCCACAGATACCCCATAGTTACCCCCCACAGTTACCCCCCACAGATACCCCACAGTTTCCCCCACAGATTGTCCACAAAAGGTCCCAGGTACATGTATCCCCGGCTTGTTAAAGCTGATGGATTTTGGTAATAAGGGTCTGATGGCTACAGTGTGTGTCCCTGGAGAATCAAAACCCTAAAGAGATTAGAAGCAGTTCGTCATGTAATTGTTAGCAGAAATTCTGAAGCTTGTATATCAAGATGCAGCTAATCAAAACCCTAAAGAGATTAGAAGCAGTTCGTCATGTAATTGTTAGCAGAAATTCTGAAGCTTGTATATCAAGATGCAGCTAATCAAAACCCTATAGAGATTAGAAGCAGTTCGTCATGTAATTGTTAGCAGAAATTCTGAAGCTTGTATATCAAGATGCAGCTAATCAAAACCCTATAGAGATTAGAAGCAGTTCGTCATGTAATTGTTAGCAGAAATTCTGAAGCTTGTATATCAAGATGCAGCTAATCAAAACCCTAAAGAGATTAGAAGCAGTTCGTCATGTAATTGTTAGCAGAAATTCTGAAGCTTGTATATCAAGATGCAGCTAATCAAAACCCTAAAGAGATTAGAAGCAGTTCGTCATGTAATTGTTAGCAGAAATTCTGAAGCTTGTATATCAAGATGCAGCTAATCAAAACCCTAAAGAGATTAGAAGCAGTTCGTCATGTAATTGTTAGCAGAAATTCTGAAGCTTGTATATCAAGATGCAGCTAATCAAAACCCTAAAGAGATTAGAAGCAGTTCGTCATGTAATTGTTAGCAGAAATTCTGAAGCTTGTATATCAAGATGCAGCTAATCAAAACCCTAAAGAGATTAGAAGCAGTTCGTCATGTAATTGTTAGCAGAAATTCTGAAGCTTGTATATCAAGATGCAGCTAATAAATTGAAGAGTGTATTCCTTGTTAGATCCTCAATGCTCCATGCTTGTAAATGATGGGCAGGAGGGTAACATTGTGTGACTGAGTCTACCAGGATGCTGTGGACTGTAAGTATGTCAGCTAGCTTGGTCCAGAAGCCCTTCAGACTGTCATGATCATGTTGCCCTGTTGTCATTAACAAGAGTTTTATTTATTTTATCTCAGGTGCCGGTCACTGATGCTTGTTGGAGATGATTCTCCCCACATGGAAGATGTGGTCAACATGAATGGACGCATGGACCCACAGGAGACAGACTTCATGAAGGTACATGCCCAGTATTTCATTGTCATCACAACTTGTTAATCTTTGACTCCTTGAAACCCTGTCCTGTGGTCTTGTGGATCGTGGGGTTCAATCCACAGCTGGTTTTCCTACAGATGTATATAGATGACATTTGTTTCTCTGACTGGTGCCAGGTGTGAGGTGATAGTACTGATACAACAAGGACTAGACAGCTCCGAGTCATGATACTGTGTCTGAGAGGGGTTTGTCCAAGTATAACTGTTGCATGGGCTTGCACTACTTGTCTGGCCCAGTACAAGCAGCCCCACACATGCTAGCATATCCCTGTATCGGTGCAATAATCATGAATGCATCAATAAACCTCATTTCACCCAAACCCATTTCTTCAGAAACATTGAGTATTTCACATTTCTTTTCCAGTTATTAAGGAAATGTCAGCTTATATTCCTTGCACTCTGACTGCCCCATGATTGCATTTCTGATAAAGATAAATATTGTTAATACTTAAGTTATTAGGGAAATAGTATTGGAAATACTTCATTAAATCAGGTTCCACTTGCAGTGTTGACTTTGAAACAGACAGGTAAAGTGTTCCTGTAGTTTCAACAATAATTTAATAATTGATAAATAGTTGGTGTGTTCTACAACAGACCCCTTAAGCATGTGAAGTCTGTCAAAGATTGTTTTGTGTCTACTAGCCTCAACTCAGTTTTGAAGAGATTTTAGCATGTGTTTTCTAAGCTGAGTGCCAAAAGCGTAACCAAAGTTTGCAAGACTTAAGGCTCAGACTAGTAGCAGAAATCTTAAACTGAATGCCTATTGCATGTTTGAAGTACTTATTGTCTGACTCTTCTCTCTTCTCACAGATCGCTGACTGTGGAGGGATGCCGCTGGAGGAGCAGCCAGGCAAGGTCACCGAGGCCTTCAAGCTCTTCCTGCAGGGCATGGGCTACGGTAAGTGAACACACGTACTTGTGATCTCATGACTGACAGCTGAAAGCCTCTAGTGTCACATGGCATTGTCAACACTTCACGTTCCTGTTTGCATAATGTTCTGCCTTTAACCATGAACTCACTGCCCAGGTAACAGTGTAGTGTCGATTTGGGGCTAATTTTAGTCTGGTAATGAAATAAAGCTCTGTATTTGTCCCAGGAGGGAAAACAACTCTGTGCATGTTCTGTTGAACCTTGGATTCAATACCTCAATTATGTGTTCACAGACTATGCATTATGTCCAAGGTCGTGAAGTGTTGACAATGGAGTGCTGTTCTCTTAACCACTAATATCTGACTTGTCTTCTGTTTGTCTCTCTGCTATTCCAACCTGACTATGGCAACAATCTTCTGTTCAACTGTGTGTGGGGTTTGTTTCTGCTACATAATTCACACACCAATCTGAATTTCTTAATGGAAGTGATGAACTACTTGCTCTCTCTTTAGATTTCCTTTAGCTGCAACATGACTGGATTAATCCTGTACACTTGTTTGCATATTCCATTAATAGATTCTTTAAGTCAAATTTCACTGATCAATGCTTGAGACAGTGCTCTAGTTTTAAAGTCGGTAATTTGGGGTAAGGGAGATAACTCTTATATGAAAGTCTCACAGCAAATATCACAGTCAAGTATTGTCACATTGTAATATTCAGAAACAGCTTCTTCAGCCGACACCAAATCCAGATGCTTTCAGTTTCAGGTCTTGTGAACTTGTCTCCAAGTTCACTGGCTAGAACTAAGTATGAACTTGAAAACAAATCATTAGTGCTCGTATTATTTAAAACATCATTGGTGCTCATATCTAAAACACTTCATTGGTGCTCATGATATTGAAAACTTGTGATTGGTGCTATTTTGTTATGGAAAACACACTTTGCACTTTATCTACTTTCATGGATGAAATTATTATGTCATGATAAATGTTTTTGTGATTGATTCTGACTTATACATAGTTATATCTTCATATTTGTTTATATGCTTTCAAGTCCAGGGTAGAAATTTGTAGCCAATGCATGATGATGAAGAATGTAAGCCTTTATTAAAAATTATTAGAAAACGTGTCACAAATTTATTTATCAAAACATGAAATTTTCACTGCTCATACTTTTATTCATCATGCATGTAATCATTTAGTATGGGTTATTTGTTTGTATAAATGTACATCAACTTAACATGGCGAGGGATCTCCTTCTATCATGTCTATGGTAATATATTAAGAACTAATTTGACAAATATTACTGACCAACCATTGGAATTAACTTATGAGCACTGTCCTGTGAAGGTAATTTAATAAATACTTGTAAATCTGTTAAGACTGAAATATTAGAAAATCAGTAATGTAAATGACTGTTTTTCATATTACCTCTTACAGAAAATACACGTCTCTGCATCATTATCCTCCATGGAATCACTGAAATCTTAAACAAGAAAGTGAAACTCATTTTTTGCATGTTTTTTTCAAACGTTTATGCACAAAAATATTAAACTGGTTTCTGTTTGCACTGTCTGATCCACCTTAATACGAGGTGTATGGCCATGTTCAGAACAAGAGATATGTGATTTATAACATGTTACAATAACATGCTGTAACATGTAACAATAACATGCACTGCAGCAGTAACATCAGACTAATACCTCTCAGTGCTAATACCTCTGTCCATACCTTTGTCTGCCTTGTTGTTTGATACCTCTTTAATACCTCTTACTCACTCACTGTGAACTCGAGTGGCTGGGTAGCCTGGTGGCTTAAGTGTTTGCTTGTTACCCTGAAGCCCCTGGTTTGATTCCTCACATGGGTACAATGTGATGCCCATTTCTGGTGTCCCCTGCCGTGATATTGCTAAAAGCAGCAAAAAGAACAAACTTACTCACTCACTCACTCTGTAAAATGATAATGATTGCATTGATCCTAGAACTTCAGACTTACTTTAGAGGGGCATAGGGAAATGTATGTCTCAACTGTCAAGAGCCCCACAGTTGTGTGTGTAGTGTGCCCTGACATTTGATCATGAGTTCCAGAAATGACATGATTATGATAACTGTTAGCACCATACCCATGTGGGTCCTAAAGCATAGCTCTTCCTCCAAGATCAAGCTGACATGATATGTCATGACCATGATTGCCAAAATAGTAGATTCAAAGTAGCATCGACCATATTTCATTCACTTGCTCATGGGGCAAAATGGTACCTATGCAGACACACTGCTTTCTGAATTTGTTAAGTGCTTGAATTCAAATGAGTGGTCAGCTGTTTCTGGACTGGTGCTGTCAGTAATCTGTGGTTGGCCTTGGTCAAGTCCAGCTGTGTTCAGACTGACATCGGATATGTTCTTCACTACCCATTGTTTATAATTATTGAGTGTTTCGAGAATATGGTGGCCATGAGGTCAAAACTCAGGTGTCACATGTCATAATATTCAATTTGCATAGATTGATGCTCATGCTGTTTATCACTGGATTGTCTTGTCGAAACTCAATTATTTACAGGATGCCAACATATAGCTGGAATAAACAAACAAAAACCTCATTGATGTCAACTTTGGTTCTTAAAGTAACTAGAAATAACTAATGCACATGTGTTTTCCTTTCGGTTTATATCAGCATTAAACCCAACTCACTCACTCAATCTCTCTCTGTTTCCTTACAGTTCCCTCTTTGCCGCAGTCCCGAAGCACTGCAGGAAGGATCAGCCAGCTCAGTTCCTCCAACAACCTGGGGAATAAGACAGCAGCTGTCTGTTAGTGTCTGTCCATGTGTAGACCCCCGACATTGCCACTCCAAGTACATCAGCTCCGATAGAGCTACCTAGCTAGATTGCTGTAGCAGCTGGCAAACACTGACCGCCATCTTTGTCCTGTACACTATTTTGATTTCTCGGTTTGAGAAAGGCTGTGCACTCATTTGTGCTAACAGAGTTGATTTGTGTTGTGAACTGAAGGATATGTAAGGTTTGGGGAAGGTGTTATGTGATATATCTGAGCAGCTAAAATGACCCATCACATGACCTGGTTTCAACTCCTGTGGTATGTGCTGACAGAGTTTGTCATGAGTTTGTTTGATCACTTTGACTAACGAAGCAGAGAGAAACATGGTTAACTTTCAATATTTGTTGTGTCTTGGCAATAACATGTGTCAGTCGATCCTGGAAAATAATGTTATTTGTGTACAGTGTTTTGCATTAGAACTTGTTGCTTATCATTAATCAAGACAAATGTGGAATATTGGAGGATTTTTTAAACTTTTGATCTGTATTTTATGATATTTTGCTTCATGAAATTTTATTTGTCACAGTCACTTTATCTGAACGAGAACATCAGAGAACAGAATTCTCCCTTGGCAGAAAGATTGGAACATGTGAATTCCCTGAGAAAAATATTCTGTTAATACATTGACTAGAAACAAGATATTGCCACAATAAAAGTCATATTTGCAAGATATTTTAAAATATTTTACCTACAACTGTTGATAGACAATATTTACATGATATTATTGATGACAGTTCCTTGAGTTATCAGGACGGAATATACAATGTTTTACAGTCAATATTTTAACAATGTTATAATATCATTGATTGATATGATTCTGCTATGGCTGTGAAAATATTCCACAGTTTATTTGATGGAGCAATTATGTCAAAATAACTATATCAGGAATTGCCACTGATTGCTAGCACTGTTGTGAGGATAATACTGGAAGATGACTCTTGGATACACTGCAGTCTTGTAATAGTTGTAACATAATCAAATTACTTGACATTGTCTGATGTCTCAGTACATTTGTTACACAACATTTGTTTTTAACATGTATGAATTTTATGCCCTTTTGTAAATATTTTGCTTCTCATATTTTCCATTTTAGTTGTCATGTGAATGAAAGATTTAATTGTGTACAGATTATGTCTATTACATTGAGACTGGAAAATTATCTTGATTATGCTGTAATATCATGCCATGAACCACTTGGTTTTAGTAATCTTGATTCTAATTTCATGTCTAATTTCTAGTCGAAAACGTTCAGATTTCTTTAAGTGTCCTGGAGCAGATCGGTATATCAGCTGATAATGTTGCATCTTGCAGTGTCTTGACCACTGTTTTTAAGCCTGCATGTTCATTTCATATTCGCTGTTTCTTTTGCACAAACTAAGGTCACATTCCTATGACATACAAAATAATATGCACCTGGAAACATATATAAAAAACATCCAAGTTTTCTTGTGGTGAGAATATTGCCGATGTGACGTTAAACAATAACTCACTCACTCACTCACTCACTCTTGTGGTGAACCTCCATGACTGTCTTAGGTATGCCAGTAACCGAGGCACATGGGATTAATCCCATGTTTCTTGGTTTGTCAACTCTGTTCATAGGTTCCACTAAAATGTTTAATGTACAGAAGACTTTTGTCAAATTTAGCTGAAAGGATTCAGTTTTAAGAAATGGCTATTGCTGTTTTGAATGGTTTTCCAGCTGTATATATTATTTTCACTGCAAGACCATGCTCATGTTTTGTGGACATCTATTTATTTTGTGATGGAAATTCAGACACAGAAGATAATATATAATCTGAAGAAATAGTAACTATGACAGATGATGTCGTAAGCCTACCAGGTGCTGTCTTTGTCACATGTTCAGAGTACCTCGGTGATATTAACCCCCACAGACTGTCAGCCCTTAATCCTCTTTATAATATAATATTAGCTCCAGTAATATATCACCCGATCATGATTATCAGCTGTTTGATTATAAGTCTTGGATTCAGGAGCATGAGAATCAAGAATATATTTTATTTGTGCCGAAGGCAGTGTGTATTGTGAAGGAATTTTGTGATCTAGTGCTTATGAGAGATGAATGCATTCCAAGTATTTGTATGTCTGCTATGTATAAACACATTGATTTGGACATTGTTATTCTATGTAATATTTGTGATATTAGTTGGACAGGACCAGTTTAGTTTCTCTTTTTGCAGATTTCTGGGATTGTAAGGGCAGGAATGAAAGAGAATATTCTTGTCAGTTAATGTGAAGGATAATTTTATTGATATAATTGTTTTTACATAGTGAAAGTACCTATTTTTAATCCAATTTAGAAATGTGATTCTTTATTCTATCATTTTAATCTAATTTGAGGTATATCTCAAAACATGAAAATAAACAGATCTGGCCTAATGTTGTATTACTGTATATTACACTTTATAACTTTACTCCTCTCCACAACTCGTCATCATACATGGTCGTTCTTTCAAGACAAACCTTATGTTCATATTTCCATATTTTCAGACAAGTAGCGAAAGACTGAAACACGCAAATAGATGCAATCTCACACCAAGTGCCAAAACCAATGCAATTAATGTATGCACAATAACTCCCACGGCACAATTCTGTTCAAGTCACAACTCTTAGCCGACAATTTGCGAAAGGATTAATTTTAGTTTTGTGACAACAAATGATTTGTCAGAATGTTTGCTTTTATAACTCTTATGATTAACACAATTTATAATTGCCGTTATATTTTAACTTACATATCATATTTTATTTATTGCTACTCAATACATTTTTGGTATTAGCAGGTTTTACTTTGTACAGAATGTGTTCACTTCATTAATGTGCAGACCAAGTAGAGAGAGACTATTGAGAAGTTCAATGACTGCAGCATTGTGTGTAGGAATCTATTTGTGGGGTAATGTATCTACTGCACACGTCTGTAGACAATAAACAATGTCCGAATATATGCTGTGTCGTCTTTCATTTCATCCCATTCCCCATGTCTACTAATAAATAGGTTCCTGTAATCCTCTGCTTGCCATACGTTGACTGTGATGAAGGCAGGGGACACACTGTAGCCTGGATGGTTGGTTATGTCAGTACAACCCAATATCTGGGGTGGTTGTTCCTGTGGCCAACTGTCTGGGCCAAATATTTTATCTAAAAGGATTACACCCAAGAACAACTGAATGTGTCAGTGGGTGGTGCTTCGCACCTGCTGGGGGTGGACTTCGTGGGTTTTTTTATTCTTTTATCGAAAGTGAATAATTCAGCTAGTGTGAATACAAAGAACCTCCGCGAATTCACACAGATGTCGTTTAGTACCCAGTTGATGTGACGTTGGTAACATAATGCTCGTCTCAGGGCTGAAAATACGCTCACTTGTACCAATCTGAAGTATCATAACCAATACACGGAATGTGTCAATATGTGGTTAGCAGGTAGCAGAACAGATTCCTCTACACGAAACGTTCCGATCAGGTCCTCCACGGCACTCACCGAACGTCCAGTAATCGAGGACGAACGGCAAAACGTGCAGAGAGCTATAGGTACGCGGCCGAGGTGTCCTTGTACAAAGCAACCTTAGCGCTACACAAGTCGTAAGTCTATGTTAAGGTTTGTTTGAACATATTTTATTCAGTATTGAAAGGAACTGGGCATAAGTTATTCAACTGATTAAAAGCCCGCTCCGAAAATTACATGGAAAACATACGTGTAATATAGACATTGAACAGACGCAAGACATATTACACATTAATTGAGAATTTGAGACCCTTGCTGTGTACAATGAATTTATGGACTTGACTAAAAATATTTTCATTTATAGTTTGTAGCAGTCTAAAGCTGTCGTACAGAATGGCGTTAATATCTATGCTTACTTTCAAGGTAAGGCAGTTACCTTAGGGTTAAGAGCGCTTTGTACAACGGCACCCATGGAAGGTGCACTAATCAATTTCCACTCAAACAGTTTATCTGCTCATCTGACCGGATTCCGGGGTACAATTGGTCACGGGCAGTGGGACAGTTTGAGATTCGTGGCAATTTGTTGAACAGTACTAAAACGATCTATGACCATACGTCTTCAATCGCATTTCTGGAACTCGAACCAGTTCTTCATTTTTCAGAGCTGGAAGATATCTGTGACCTTGAATGGACTGGGCTTGTTTAACTTGTTTACTGGTGCTGGGATTGCTGTATAATTCTGTTCTGGTTTTAAGAGCAAACCAGTCCTGGAGTGTCAACCAACGAATTACAAAGTGTTTTTCAAGGTCTCGTGAAGACACTCTGTACACATTGCGGCCTCTGGAATTGTTCTTTCTCGTTATGTTAGCCATCAAACTATCAAAGTTGTTTGTGGTGCTTCTTTTGTTATCAGATGTGGAATACTTCATATGTAGCGGGTTGGAATAAGCAAGTCTTACATCATGCTCCGTCGAATCAGCGGACGTTTGTTGAATCGTGATGGATTAAGCCATTCCTTCCAGACACACACAGTCAGACTATTGCTGACACTGCGGCTACACTCTCCAGTAGTAAAGGGGTACTTTGGAGCCCCCTGTGTGTACCCAATCATAAATTGAATTGTGGCTCACACTACTATTGGCTTAAGTTTAACAAGGCTTGAGGCTGCTGTACTGTATACGCAATAAATTTACCATATACTTTTGAGTATCCAATTTACTCTTTCACCCACTCGTTGTGTTTCCACGTGTTGAAGTTCTACTCTAACTGTGAATGTGTCACATTCTTCCACGTGAACTACCCCCAAGAGGATACAACACGCGATGTTTGTTAATCTGTCATGTCATAACTGATAAACTACACAATTTATTCAAATCAAAACGCCGGCTGTTCTATAAAATCTTTATAGGTACTGTATAAGTGAGTATTACTGGATTTTTAATACTGATAGTATCAGATTCGACACTGAATAGTTTCCCATTGACCAACAGCTCTTGCTGGATTTTTAATACTGGTAGTAAAGGTATCCGAAGCGTCATGTGTCCGAACGTCTATTGCCAAAATGGAGAATGCTTAGTCGCCGAATAATGATAATTACACCGCAGTATCTTGAAAGACACTGCCTCAGGTACTTAATCGTAAGGTACATTTATTGTTAGAAAATAATATTTTGAACAATATTTTTGAACAATATATGTTCAGTTTATGTGGAAAAAGGGAAAGTGTGTTGTTGCCTCTCGTGCAGGTTGCTATAGGCACTAGAATAATCATCTTCCTGTTTCTCTGTGAAACTAGTTCACAATTAACACCGAACGCGGTTAACCCCCAACCCGGTACCCATGGTGTACACCTGATCTGTTCAGCTCACGTTCAATCAATAATATCCATTTTGAATACTTGGTGTTAAATGTCGCACACAGCGTGTACAATACAAGAACATCAAATAAGCAATTGTATGTGGAACCTTAACGTATACCTAACGTATCATTTGTCGTATTGAATAATGACTCGAACAATTAAAAGGCACTTGCACAATGCGCTTCTATTCAAGATCGAATGTTAAATGGGTGTGTTACGACAAATGTTTGACACCTATTCAAATGCATGTGAACAATTATCCAATATATGTTCAATATCCACAAATGTATTGAGTGGAGTGATTTATGTGTTTAGTTGTTGTACACACACATATATGAATGTACATACAGTCCTGCGTTGCCGGGCGAGGGGAACACGATGATGACATAAGCTTGCTTTCTATGGTACCGTACTTACTCTTGTTAATTTGCCATTTATGCTTTGGGTAGCACAGTGGCCTGAAGCACCGTAATTCGATTGTTCAGTTGTGCCCCCAAGTCAGGATCCGTTGTGGGATTAAATAGTAATAAATACCAAATTCTCCTTTAATACTGCAATGTAAACCAACCCTCGGTGGTTTAACCTGGGAAAAGTGTACAACCTCCATCACTTCTAAAAGTGATGTTGAACACAAACCACTCATTTGTGAATTTAACCCGTGAAGATCCGGGTTAGAATTGATCTTCTGTAACACATGCTTGTCGCAAGAGGCGACTAACGGGATCAGGTGGTCAGGGTCGCTGACTCGGTTGACACATGTTATCGTATCCCAATTGCGTAGATGCTGTTGATCACTCATGCTGTTGATCACTAGTGCTGGATTGTGTGGTCCAGACCGCCGCCATATTGCTGGAATATTGGTGAGTGCGGCATAAAACTAAACTCACTCACTCATGAATTTGCCATTGGCTTTAGCATTTTCTAGCGCTAAACCATTACATGTATTTAAGACGAGAGTACACAGCCAGACACACAGAGTCTTTATTCCAATAAGAAAATACAACAATTAATTTCTAAGAGGGGAAAGTTCTATGGATATACAACTTAATTATTACAATATATGCGACGTTTCGGCGTAGATACTAACACCGTTATCACCACACCGACTTCTAAAAGCCACTCAAGTTCGGTTTTACTCCACTTGTAGTAATATTCCAGCAATATCACGAAGGGGAACACCAGAAATGGGCTTCACACATTGTACCCATGTGGGGAATCGAACCCTGGCCTTCGGAGTGACGAGCAAAGGCTTTAACCACTAGGCTACCCCACCGCCCCCACTCAAAGACGTCAGCAATAAACATTTCATAAGTCTAAAGTACATAGTAACATTTGATAAAAGAGAACATATAAATGTTATATAATATATTTTGATCACCAGTATAGAGATTTGTGGAACCTGATGGGCAATGTTTAATCAGTAACATATAGTCTTGCGTTGAAATCAGATACTATATAAGGTTAATAGCATGATCAATCACCCATAGCGTCGGAGAATGATGACATACTCAGGTACAAATGTGATAGGTGAACTTTTACAGGTAATGAGTCTTCTGCTTCCAGGGTCTAACTAGACTACCGTTTGATGGAAACAAATATCTCCGTTATTGAAAAGGAGCCCCAGTGAGATAGGTGACTGAACCTGAAGCTGGGGAAAATCTAGGCTTGGTGCATCTGATACTTTTCGATGACAGCAAGGGTTGGGCGGAGTGAAAAACGTATCATTCAGGAACGTGAGACTCCGGTCTAACCATCCGTGTCCACACTCATGCAGTTCAACCTTAAATAACGTGACGTGAAAGGACATATTCACTCACTCACTCACTCACTCACTCACATGATACAAACTAATTACGCTTTTATACACATGTACGACACATCTTCAAATGTACGTATCCGAAATATTACGTACGGTGACAACTAATTTTGAAGTTTTATTACCTCCAGGCTTCACGCTACACTATTTAAGTATGATTGGTTGTCAAGTTCGAGAGTCGATATTTAAAATCAGTTTTTGTAGGTCGTTTGGAAACAATTCACCCAACTACACATTGCACAATCCTTGAAAACAAAACATTTTATATTCGCGGGTGATAGCCAAATTGGCACGAGGCAATTAGTGGAATTAGATGTCAGTTTTATTTCATACGGCAATTTTCTGACCAGAAGCAGGGATGTATGATTCACAGCGTAGAGTAAACATGGTTTGTTGGTTTGTTGTTTAACGCCTATCGGTGATATCCCAGATACATGGCGGCGATATTCCTTGGGCCTTAGGCGGATCCAAGAGTGTGCTGCGTCATTTTTGTCTGGAAAGTTTGTTCAATGACCATTGAAACTCGGGTGAAAATGAAGTGTGAGCCCCGTTTTCGGAAAGTGCACCCCCCACCCCTTTCTAAAATCCGGTATTCTAATTGTCTGTATCTTAAACCAGTGGTTGATATTATGGGCAAAGTAGGTCCCACGTGTCGGGGCACGATGAAAGCCAAACCAGCCTGAATACCTGAACATTTTGACCATACCCTACTAGCAGCACGTAGGGGTCTGTAAATAACCTAGTCGGAAGACAATCCAGTGATCAGCAGCATGATGATCGATTTACGCAATTAGTTCGATGATATGATAGTAGGCGTGTGAAGCCTGAACAGAAACATTTGTATAAAATCCAAGAAAGCTCGTCATTTGTATCTATTTAATTTTGTGATGTTTTGTGATACTAATCGGAAATAAGAAAATAAAATTGGTTTCTAATTGTATTCTTAAACTGTTTTGGCAAAGAAGAAAATAAATGCAAATTGTACTGTTACGACTCTTACAAGCAGGTTGGTCTTTTCGTTTTTGAACAGAAAAATACTATGGTCATGGTCGTTTAGTGAGTCAAGGAATTAAACATTCATAAACATTCATATAATATTACTGTTGATTGTTTAATATCATACAAACGTTTCAGTCGTGAGGATCCGTGTCTCTAAAATAATCTATTTACTAAACAGGATAAAAATGTATTGTCGCGCGCACCTACTGTTAAATAACGGACACGAGCTGCCAGCTGTACGGTAATGAGGCCGCACATATGCAAACGACCCCTGACCTTTCATGCCGTAGCGTGGAAACTGGTAAACATTCAAGATGGCGGCTAGTTTGTGTTGAACATCAGGTGCCCGTTTCCTCACAGAAAGTTTTGAAAGAAACCAACCCGAGGGAACTGTCCAGCTGAGGAGGCATCTGATCTGTTTGGGAGGTTTATATATCCGCAATGTCGGACGGAAATCTTGGCCGTGGCTCGAAGAACCGGGCCACGAGCGCCGAGGCCAAGAAAACTCGACTAGCTGCTCTGGGACCCGGTGAAAACATTAAAGAAAAGCAGGTATTGTCAACATATATATGATAAATTAATGAATATATATACATTCTGAGCTCAAGATATTACGTGTATTCATATAATAAGACAGGTTTCAGTAATATAAAAACGCTTTGGTTTGGAAACTCTAATCGTTACCCACCGACATGCACAATGAATATACGCTATATATAATACAGTGTGTAACTAAAGATATGTGCCATTGTATATGTAATATATGCAACTCCAACCATGCTCTCCCATCCCGAAGTATTTCTTCTTGTTTACAAACAGCGATTTTTAATTCTTCCATAGATCTATATACCTCATGGGATGATATGATGGCAGATATTTTATAAATATTTGTTCTCAATTAAATATTAATGTTTTGACACATTTACTGATGATTTAGACACATGATTCCATATCACAGCATGGCCATGCTATAAATCCAGAAACGGCCATTCATACTTTGTATCAAAATATCCATAAATTCTATAAATTTATCTGCCTTGATAATGAAGTGAACTAGTTGAAGTTCTATACATCAATTACCGGAGATTTATAATAGCCCTAAGGTATCTTATAAAGCTATGGTCCTTAAGGTATCTATGGTTTGAACTTAGGGATAAGTTCATGAACATTTTCAAACAGTTACATCCAATTATAAACTAACTGGAATACCAACAAGTGATCCATATAGTTTATCTGTCATACAACCCTGCATTTGCACCTTAAATGTTTATGAAAACCTTCATATTTAATTTTTTGCTTGTTTATTTCATTGCAATAAAAATGTGTAATCTCTTCTTCTTGAATCATCAGGGTTAGATTCTTTTACAAAACATACCACAGAGCAACTTATATACTCTTGAGATATGCATGTCCAAACTTGTAATTTGGAATTATTTTCAGTAGTTATAAGTATTAGTATATAGACAAGTGTAAGCATAGCTTATTTAACATTATTTTACCCAGGCTTTGGACAAGTGGCTGCACTTCTACATACAGGAAGAACCATGTTGAATGCAAAATGCCTATACAGAATAAAGGGACATAACTCTGCACATCATAGCAATAAGCTGTAGCCATTGCATGTGGGAGAACATAAAATCTCACACAATGTCAGTCAGCTTGTCAGTCAGTCCATACTTTCTGGTATAACGCTGTACCAAAATCTGAGTCTTTCAGCAGTCACCACTCCAGTTGTGCCATCTTATACATGTTAATACAGGAATTGTTAAGATTGACTAATTCACATGTTGTATTGGTTTGTGAGATCTAATAATATCCAATTGCAAGTTGCACATCATGTTTATCTGTGTTTGACTTCGAACTGATTCATATCAAACAAACTATATTCACTGGAGCCTCATGATCTTCTAGACAATAACTGTATAAATGCATGAACCCATAAAAATCATGACAAAGACAATTGTGTTACATCTTCACAGGTTTTTCCAGGAACTGTAGATAACTCAATGCATCTTTGGTGGTTCTGAGACTTCAGTTAAGGAGGCCTAGCTATGATAATGTTTTCAAAAGGAAGTAGATATTATCAGACCTAGAAAGACAATTGTGTTTGAATTGTGCTTTTCTGATTTCATAATGAAGTAATGTGAAAGATTAAGACAATAATTGGTGTAAACAATTGTTTGTGTACCAGAGCCGTCTACAATGTTCAATTGGCACACCGTAACTAGGCATGGCAGGAACCTGTGGTACTGGGTTTGAAACCCAGTTGACCCTGATTGAGTTTCTTGGTTTGTCTGCACCATTCCTATGTTCAAGGGTTTCAACAGTAAATGTCTTACACCTGAACCACTATAGGCTTTCATCTGTTTTGAGACTTGGATGAAGTTCAAAGTGGAGTTAAACCCATCTCACTCACTCACTCACTAAGTGAAGCTGATACAGTTATTGTCACTGTGAGAAGAGGGAAATCATAAGCTTTGGGTAATGATACATATAACAGACTTGGATTTCAATGACAAATTGAATTTTGCAACATCTTTCAGTTATCTTGTCCAGTCAATCTCCAACTGCAAGTGAAATAAAAGTTGAGTAAATGTTAAACCTAACAAACCGCATGTAGAAGAGAGAAAAACACTTGAAACCTCATCAAAATGTTGCTACAACTGTAACACAAAAGTTTGTCATCCAAAACATCATGTTTTTGTTGCTTCGCTTCAAAAATAGAAATATGTATTAGTATGTGCATGTTTTCCCATCTGATTCCATGTTGTGGTATGAATTATGTAGCCACCAATGAATGAGGTTTGATTAACGTCAATCACGTGTCAGATTATTACTGTGTGAAGCCAAGAGTATTGACACTAATCAGGTTAGTAGTGTTTATTAGCGGTAATAAACATGGTAATATCGCACCTTATTTATCATATTTCACAGAGCATTGCCTACGATTGTTCCAGAGCTCTCAAGGGTGATAATATCTATGTAGTGGGGATAATCCAACTGGCAGCAGGCTGTACAATCCACCTAATGTGATTGACTGTAAATAGGTTTAGTCACACTTTATTAACCCAGTCAAGAAACTTTTTTTTATCTCTGCAAGGAAAACTTAGGGTTGACTAGTCAGAAATGTGATGTTAATCTAAACATTTATCAGTTTTATATCTTAAAATCATGTTTGTAATAAGCAAATTAGTCAGTTGAAGTTTTGAAATTTTCACATTCTATTTGTATTGTTTTGGTAAACATTTGTTTGCATGAACTTTTTTACATTTCCATCCTTTTTGATATCAAATTAATTTTATTTTTTATTTTATGAAAATATTATTTCAAATAAATTTATGATTTAATTTTTTAAAACATTGATGATCATTACTAATTAAAGGTAATTTGCATTTGTGTCGCCTGTTTACTAGTGTGTATGGTGTTCCCAGTTACCTGACAGTAACGACAAGCCGCTTGGCCTACCTGTCATCAGGTGTAGCGTCACACGACAGATCCAGACATGTTACCTGTAGTGTTTATTGTTGTGTACCCCGCAGGCTGGGTGGGCAGGGAAAGTCCAGTACATGCTTGAGACCAGCTGACTAGCTCACTCAGCCTGGGGGGGTTGTACAGGCTTAGACTTGACAGGCTGGAGGCGGGCTGCATTCCTATAGGTTATACTTGAAATGAAATAGGAAATCAATATATACGACTTGATCACTGTCACAGAATGGTCGTAAAAGGAGTAGCTCAAAGAAACTAGGATAATTTAGTCTTGTATATTCATGGCTGAGTCACTATTTTGCATTTAGATATATTTATGATTGTATGTTAACACTGTTAATATGGTAAAATCTAAATCTATATAATCTATGCCTTATTTTGATTGCTATTACAGACCCGTGCAAAAAGTATTCGGACACTTGATGTAATTTCCATAGACTTGCATGTTATTTCAGTGGAGCATAAATAATTTTCATGAAGTGAGTTTAGGATGTATCTTTGTAACCTTTGACAGGCAAATTTGAAATCATCTCTGCTCTCCACACATAATTTCAGTTCAATTTTCCGACCACTATCTAACTAATGACATCACATTTATCAACTACATATGGTTCCACAATGCACAATTCCATAGGCTGACGTATTAAAGGAGTTCACAGCACTGTATATATGTTGATTAAATGTGTTGCCATTCGATAAATAGGCAACTCAAAATGAAACAGAAATTATGTGATTGTAGGTAAGATAATTCCTCACAAATGAGCCAAGTTTGACTTGGATCTTAAGAAAATTAAATCCATGAAAATTATTCATGCTACACTAAATTTACATGTAAGTCTATGGAAATTACATCAAGTGTCCGAATACTTTTTGCACTACTCTGTAGCATGCATTTTTTTGTAGTCGATGGTTCATACTGATGATACAACATACAAGCTATGTTGGGAAACAATTATTTAGGAAAACACTAATTACACTGTGAGTTTCTGGTTTTATAGGGAAACGAGTAATTGATTAAGTTAAAATTGGTACCCATTGAACATCAGCTATCACAGTTCTTTTGTTTAGATTGACTCCAAATAGGTCCAGGGCCTAGATTTCCCGAAGCTCTCTTAGGGCTAAGATAGTCATAAGTGCCATACATTAACATTAACTTACGACTATCTTAGCGCTAAGAGAGCTTTGAAAATCTAGGCCTTGTACCATAGTTGAACTAAGTATCGTGTTTTTCAAACTTCCACCCCTGTTGTGTTTGACATAGGAAAGCAGATACTCATATAACATGTAGTATCTGATATAAACAGATGTTGGACATTAAACTAAAGAGCATGCCCAACAAAGGTATCAGCTAAATATAAAACTGTTGTGGTTTGTTTGAGAAAAATAAAAAGTTAACGAAAGGTATTACCTGATCATAAACCTGTTTCAATTTGTTTTAGAAAAAAAACATATTTTAATTTTAAGGAAAGGTATTAACTGAAAAAGTCCTGTTGTAGTTTGTTTGAGAAATTATTATTTGTTTTATTTTCGGGACACTCTTAAAGATATCACAGTCCCAGGTGAGGTGTGATATATCAACTGTGTATTACTCGTATATACTGTCCTTGCAGTAGACACCACTGTACAAGTTACACTGGTAAACTTCACAAAGAGATTGATGTAATGGATAATCCATCGCTGACATTGTGTTTCAATCATTTATGTAGACTAAAAATCACCACTGATTTAATACACTGGCAAAGGTGAAGTGTGTTCCTTAATTAAGTATTTACGATATGCAGACACATTATAAGCAATATTTCATAATACATCACAATCTAAAAAGTCATATTTCAGATTAATATGTACTTTATCAGTAATATTTCATAAGCATCTGTACATTCTTAGAAAAATGTCCTGATACACTGGTACGTTATAAGTAATATTTCATTCTCACCAGTACATTATCAGCAATATTTCTTGATGGTTCAGTGCAATATAAGCAGTATTCAGTGATATACTGGTACATTATAAGTAATATTTGATCATACACTGGAAAGTTCTAACTATAAGCTATCTTTAATTAT